CCATAAGCCAAAAGCTTACCTTTCTTTTTCAAATCATTCTTTATGTTTCATGTAATATTTCTAAAAGTGTTCAATACATAAATGATACTTTTGCATTATTACATTCATTTATTTTAATAAATTAATCAAAATCTTTTATTTTCTGACGTTGCTCATTTAATGCCATTTCAAGCTTCTTCCTAAATTTCTTTATAATTTTTTGAGTTATGAGATGAACATAATGATTATCTTGTTGTTTAACCCTTGTCTCCTCCTAAATTAACATAATAGTCAATTCTTTCACTTTTCACTTGTCATAATAGTATTAATTCGAAATGACCCATACTAAGTACACAAAAAATTAAGAATAAATTGAATGAGAAAATTCTTATCCACAATCAACCCTAAGGTTCTTAATTTTGTAGCAGCATTAGTCATTTCAAAATTATCTTCATATATGGTACGAGTATCAACAAAAATGCATAATAGTGATATCAATTAATAATTTTTCTTTAAAATATTTATCTACAATACGAAAACATTCTTATGCTCAAATATTCCTTAGCACTATCACCATAGGGAACAATTATTCACATAACCATAATGCTTAGTCTGTTCGATCTCTCCTAAGCTTTATGGAGAATCTTTTCTTCTTCACTGGCTTTAATCTTAATAACAGTAGGTTTCTCAATTTTAAATGCTAAATCAAGATTTAGCACATCTAAATTTTGAACTTAAATTACTCATTCCATTATGAGAAGTTAGTCCTATTGAGAATCAACTCAGATATAACATGCGAATTAAGTGATGCAATAAAACAAACATAATAAGATAAAATGCTCACAAAAATAATGCTTTGAGTTAACAACAAGTATATATAAATAACTTAAAATATAAATACAATGTATAACTATAATACCCCTTTGGGTAGCAACTATAACAAACTAATAATGATGCTTAATGTATTTATATATATACCTTCATTGGTGATACATTATTTAATTAAACAGATAAGTTACTTTTGGATATCCTATATCTACCCAATTAAAAAATACATACATTCCCTTAATGTTCATTTAATTACTTGAAAATCAATTCCCTTTGAGGAATTAATTCTCATAATTAAATAAACTCAATATTCATGAATATCACAAGAAATCATAAGTATCATAATTCATGAAATATTGCAATTATGTCTACTACTAAAATTAAAATCCATCAACTATTATGGTTGAGCCACTTTGGTAGTTACCAACCTTTACATAATATAAATATTAAATTAGTTAGTAACAAATTTATAATTAATTATGTTTACTATGAAAATTAATATTCATCAATTACTATGATTGGGCACTTTGGTAGCTTCCAATCTTCACATAATATGAATATTAAATTAGACAGTGATTAATTCATCATTAAGTTACCCATTTACCATTATACACACATACTCATATTGATCGATCTAAGTTTAAGTAGGTTCGATCCCAGAAATTTAATAGTCCAAAAATTCAATAAAAATATCTTTTTACTTTATATATAGAATAAAACATATTATTTTATTTTCGGACTCAGGAAATTATAATTGAATCAATCTAAAAATTGATTCTCCATTATGTATGTATGTATGGGTACAAAATAATAATTTATACACACACAGGCATATGCAATTCAGGCACCAAAAACATAAACAGATGAAACACAAAAAATAGTCATAAATAATAATTATACATAATTAGCCATGCTTAAACTAATCACTTAATAAGGTATTCAATTCATGCTCGAAAAACAATATATGCAATCTGATAGAATTAAAATATTATTCAAGACACAATTCTTTGAATCATTCAATCAAATAAATATAAATAATTTTACTTTTCAATTGTCCGATATTATGTATGATCTGTCTAATAACAATTCTATAAATGTATTACACTAAACAGAATGTTGTAATCATTGGACAAAAATAATACCAAACCAAACTTTTCAAAGCAGGAACGTAAATCTGGAAACAAACACATGTTTGTTTATATCTGCTCATAAACACAATTGACCAACTATGAAACCAATTGAAATATTGTACCCAAATTGACAAACAATTCCATTAGACATATACTCTGCATTTGTTCATATATATGTCGATTTTAAAAGAAAATTAAATTTCACAATTATTTAATTCTACTTTATATTTATACATATTATTTATGCAACGTGAATAGAAAATTATGAGTTCCTAAACCATAAACTCTGATACCACATGTAAACTATAATTATTCATGCCAAGCATAAATCATAAATTTACATGAATCTCGTATCTTAAAACTGCAAGATTTTCACATATCTATAATGCATAAATAAATAGTTAGATATAAATACCTCAATCTGTAATTGTAAAACTCGAAGAGATCAAGGCAAACGTCAAGATCCTTTCTGCGAAACGAATAACATGCTAAACTGCAATAGTCAAAGTGTAGAAACCGATTTCTCTCTCTTGGCCTTTTGCACACATAAATATTATACTTGTTATTTTCATTAACGTACATAACTGATGGGAATATGTACTTTTATAAAGGCAGAGAAATTATCAGTTTTCCTTTTAGTAACTTTAATTCCACTTTCCATCAAAGTAAGGGATAAATAGGAAACACTTCTCCAATAATTGATTACTAAAAATGTAATTTATAAGTTGGCTAAATAATATAATATTAAGGGCAAATTTCTCAAAACCCCCATTACTTTTAAAAAATGATCATAAAACTCCAACCAGTTTCAAAAACCCCCAACAATATAACAACGTTATCATTTTACCCCAACTCTGTCAATTGAAGCCGTTAACCCAACGCGTGGTTAACAATTGTTTTGGGAAATTGACTTTTGTGACGAAAATACCCCTGTTGTCACATATGCCAAACAAGTGATATTTATTATATGTGTTATTCCAAAAATACCCCCAAGCATCCCTTCTCTCCTCCATGCGTGCAATAGTTTTAGGAAACCCTAGTTTATCCCATTTTCTTGATTTTGGGTGGCAATTTATAATTAAAAAATTATAGCATTTACGATCTATTAGTTTATTAGAGTGAAGTTCTTGATTTCGGGTGTCAATTTATAATTAAAATACTACAACATACAGAAACCCAATGAATAATTTTGTTCTTGGTTGTAATTTGAATGTGGCACACATTCGCAGAGCTTTCATTTTGAAACTTGAATAACTCAAGACCACATCCAATGCCCTCTGATCATTCTTGTAATCAATCCAAGCCGCAATCAGATTCCCACTCTTGAGATCGATTTGCTGCAACTTGGAATCAGCATTTTTGATAGATTTTTGATCGACTTGCTACAACGTGGTATCATCATCTCTCTCGCTAGCTCCCTCTCCTTCTGACTCTCCTCTCCCTCTACCAACCTTTAATTTCTTTTCCCTCCCCTTTTCTCACCATCTTAATCTCAGATTCGGTTACCTACCGCCAAACATGTCAAATGTCTCTCTCTCAAGAAGAAGTAGAAGATCAAACGGCAACTACACCAACCAGTGACCTTTCTTTCCCGCTTTCAAATCCCTAATCGGCTCCTCCTACAAGCCCTCGCCGTTGTCTGCACCTCACCGGAAAATACCACCGGATTTTAACACATTCTTAGACCCAAGGCCAGAAAACCCAGTTTCCCGTCGAAGACACCGCTGGATTTTCACACATTCAATGGTAACATTTTATTAAAATTCGTGTTCATCAGTAGCTCTTGATTTTCCAGCGGCCTTCAAGATTTCGCTGCACTTTTGTTCTCTCTCTAACTAAAAAGATCAGAAGTGAATTGCAAGTAAGTCTTTCTCAGTGTTAAATAATGTTAATTTATGTTTCATATCTTAGGTGACTTTTGTTGTTCCTTTCGTCAAAAATATCTCACACACTAATTACAAGATTGAGTTTACCATATCTGTTTTCGATCATTATGTGTCTAAAGATGAATGCTTTACCGCTCCATCCGAGAATTTATTTGTAGAGAAAAAAGGCTGAGAAATTCTCAAACTTAGAATGGAATTCCCAAAATCCAACTCCTCAAAATGGAATGCTGGTGAGAAAATTTTACGCCGTATGGTACTTTCCTTTCTCATATATATATATATATATATGAGAAAGGAAAGTACCATACGGCGTAAAATTTCCTCATTAGAAAATCAGAGTAACACTTTCTCTACCTGAGTCAATATATTTTCCACCTTAATCTTGCCGAAGAAGTCAAATCTCTGGCGGTGAATAAACTGTCAAATCTCGCCGGATTGTAATTAATTGTTAATTGTAATTGTTAATTACACTGCTGGATTAAACCAAAAGGATAATATTGTAATTTGTAAAATATGATTTTTTGATTTTTTAAATAAAGTGAAATATCATAAGGGTAATTTAGTCATTTCACATACCTTTAACGGTTCATTAACAGAGTTGGGATAAAATGATAACGTTGTTATATTGTTGGGGGTTTTTTAAACTGGTTAGAGTTTTATGATTATTTTTTGTAAGCAGTGGGGGTTTTGAGAAATTTGTCTTAATATTAATTGGATATTTATTTTATTTAATCACTAAATAATAGAAGTAAATCACATGTTCAAATCATGTGAGCCACGAATATAAAATATATATATATATATATCTTACATAGGGTTGTTGGGTGAAAATTTATTTGGATTGGATGCTTTTGCAGAGTAAGTGTGGTCAATGGTTGAGGGTATGGCTGGTCATGGCCTGGGAATTCTAATTTGAATTTGAATTGTCCCACAACAACTGACCTCGCCCTTAATTATTCACTTGTGGTAGACTTGCGGAATAAGATCAATCTCCTTGATAAGTGACATACTCAAAAAAATTATATGAATGGAAACGGCATTTTACAACAATATACAACAATACAGATTTAAAAAAACTCGAGTCATCGTAATAAGCAAAAGTTAATGTTTTTTTATAATTTCATTTACTACAGTTACAATTGTCCAGTCTCAATCCAATGAGGCTCACCGGCAAGCACTACTCACTGACGGCCAGTCTGTTGGTCTTATGAGTTTCATTCTTGCTGCCATCCTCCCCTGAGATTTCCTCCAACGATCGCCCTTTAGTCTCGGTCACCAAGAATGTGCAACAAAACCCTAGCATGTTTGTGAATGACAGCACCATCATGGCATGCTTAATTTTTTTAGGGTTCCCACTCAATGTGTAGCTCTGCACCCCGAACGCACCAATCATCGCCCCGGCTTTCCCGGCCGCAGCGCTCAATGCGTGACACGTGGACCTCAGCCGCGTCGGAAACAGCTCCGCCGGAAGCACGAAAGTGGTACTGTTCGGACCGAAATTGGCAAAGAAGAAGGTCAGTCCATATAAAGATGCAAAAATCCATTTATGCTCCTCTTTCTTAAGGTATTCATATTGGATCCCCATAATAAGCATGAAGACAGACATCATCAAGAACCCTATTAGCTGAATGTAGAACCGGCCAATGCTTTCTATGAAAACCACGGTGAACCAGTAGCCGGGGAAGGTTCCGAGCAAGGCAACCACGAACATGGCACGTGAAGTCTCGAACACCTCTCTGAGAGCACTGACATTAATATCTTTATTGGTGAGACCCATAACCGGAAATATATCCTTCTGAGCTAGGTTTTGGCTATAGAAGGCTATGTCCAACAAGAACCATGTGCTCATGGTACCTATTAGAAAATATAAATAAGCAAACGATCGCTATAATAATTATAATTGAAACAAATGTTTAAAAAAAATATAATCACACATAAATATAAACAGAAAGTTATAGAATATGGTTTGTTTTGTTCAGTTTTGAAGAACTGAAAATCTAAAATCTTACAAAAACCTGTTTTTACACGTTTTTTAAAATTATTTTCTGAAAACTTAACTAAAAAACAGGCTTAATATGAGAGAACTGTTTTCTTATAATTATCTTTTTTTTTTCATTTTTTTTTTTTTTTGTTTTTCGAGAAGTGTTTTTTAAAAATTAAATCAAGCATACCCTATAACTAAGTTACATGACAATACCTATTAAGTGAAGTCCATGTCGACGGTTGAATTCCGAGGAGAATAGTGTGTAGTCATTAGAGGCCTTAAACTGACTCAACTTCTCACCGTCAGCCTGGATATCAATTTTCAGAACCCTACCCATATCGATAGCGGCTTGTTTGGCATTTCCTTCTATAAGAGCAGTGTAACGACCGGTTTCTGGCATCTTCATCCTCCAGTAGTATGTCAGAAGCGCTGGAAGAGCTCCGAGCATCAACACAATCCGCCACATGTAGTCCCCCGCCGGCTCGGTTGAGAGAATACGATCCTCACGGAACGTCGGACCTTCGTAATACCTGAGGAATATCCTGGAAAGACTCATGGACACTAGTCCGGCGAAGATGATACCCATCCCTTGCATGGCAAAGACGGCGGCGATGAACTTCCCACGAGTCTTCTTGTTAGCGTACTCCGACATGATGGTGGCGGAGAGTGGATAATCTCCTCCAATGCCAAACCCTAGCCAAAACCTGAAGAAACATAGGGTTGCAATGACAGATTTAGGCGAGGTGCCAAAAGATAGGCCGGAGCAAATGGCACAGATGACCATGAGAATGAGGGTGACACCGTAGATTTTTTTCCGGCCTAGCTTGTCCCCAAGCCAGCCAAAGACGAGCTGACCGGTTAGGGTTCCGACTAGGGCAACACCAACAACACAGTTGTTAACTTGCTGAGGGAGCTTCCCGGGCTTGAGGGAGTGAGGGTCATAGTAATAAAGGCGACCCAAGAGCTTGGAGACAGTGGAGATACAGAAAAGATCATAAGCATCTGTGAAGAAGCCCATTCCGGCAATGACGATGGCCGTGACATGGTACCATTGGGTACGTGCAGAGTCAAGGGCATTGAGCACTGCAAGATTGTTTGAAGACATTTTTGCTGTCAATGGGATTAATTGTGTTGCTGAAAATTTCTTGAAGTCTATGGCACATTAAATAGTTGGAGTTTTGGCGGGAAGCAATACTAGGGATCAAGTATAAATTAAGACTCGTCAAAAACTAGGTTCTGGGGGGTGTCAACAAGGAATTTAGGGAGAGGATATCTCAGTATATTCTTTATTCTGCTTTGAAAAATTAAGCATATGCCTAGCTCAGAGTTTTTTTCAAAAAAAAAAAAAAAAAAAGGGAAAAATTGAAAAAGAAAAAGAAATAGTTTAAATTAGACAGAGAAGTTAAGTCACATAAATCGGAAGCGAGATCAAATTCAAAAGCGAAAGCGTGAGAGCGGCAAAATTAAATTATAAACAATGAAAATTTGAACAAGAGCGCTCACAGAAAAGCGGGAGTTCGCTCGGAATGTGAAAGCAACACCTGTTAAAAATGGTGTGACTTAGCATAGAAGAATTAAGCACAAAGTCAGTTTCATTGCTTTGCAATGTTTTTTTTTTTGGAATGGTTAAGCAAATATATTAATAATAATAAAGAGATACAAAGGGCCCAAGAGAGGCCCAGAGGGAAAAGGAACACAAAAAGCTAACCCAAACAGGAAAAGGCCAACCAAATTAAAGAAGATACATAGTAGCCAAACCCAAAAGAGGGGAACAACAACGAGGAAGAGAATCCTCAGCAACAATATGGAGGATAGCCGTTGCTAACGGCGTTAACCGTTAGAAATGTATGTCCTAACAATTCCGGTAACTAAGCTTCCAGCCCCCTGATGCTTCACCTCTGTTCACTGATCAGGAGGGAGTGGTGGAGGACGAGCTACGAAGACTAATACTAAAAAGAGTTTTATGTATTTCAAATTTTAATTAGACACATATAGTAATTCTACTTAATTAGACACATATTGTAAAAGTAATAATGGAGTATTAATTTAAAGAATTTTTCTTTTGGGTAGCAAATATACATTTGATTGTGACTTGATATGGTTTATTCTTTGTATTCTAGGTTTCATCAGCCGTAAGCGGTCATTAGATTTGTTTCATTCTTTCAGTACTTTGTTCATATCTTGGTGGTTTGAAATTAAGTACTTTGTCTCCCTCCAATTGTCATTGGTTTCTTTTTATTATTATTATTATTATCAGGTCTCGATCTGTTAATGATTAAATAATAAAAAAATATTTTGACTTATCTATCTAATTAGGTGGGTAATTCTTATGATTTATTGTATATACTATTTGAGTTGTGTGTGATATATATGGTATCGAAAAAAATCAGTTTGCTAGTAAATATTCCTTGTTTATATTTTAATATATATATAATTGTATTTTTTTAATGAAAAAAATACTACTGTACTATATATATATTATTGGTGTAAATTGATAATGTATAATGGTATCCAACTCTTGAAAAAGAATTTCGAACCGACCGATACGTAGTGTATCGACCGATTGTATTTACACTAACCCACAAATCCTATGTGACTTTCTAGCTTTTGACAGTTGCAACATCCCGAATGTGTTTCTCTATTTATTCAACTGAGAGGTTAAAGAAGAAATGTCTCCATGTTCATTCAATTGATTGATCAATAATTGAATCAAGCAAACGAATTACTTTCGAAAAATACTTTTAGGCTTAGTTTTTTTTTTTTTTTTTTGAAAGTTAAATTTCAATTAAAGGAATGGGAACAGTAGAAGGCTAGCAATAGCTAACCAATGGAACATGAAGAGCTAGCCCAAAGGACTCAAACAACCCATGATACAAGAGCCTAAGATATTGAAGCCCATACAAGAGGCCCAATACCCAATCCCACAATTCAAATGCAAAGACCTGGTCTTTACCCACAGTCGGGTGATGAAGAAGACGGACTCCGTCAAATCGTCTCTTCAGTTGGCTTGATCAGGTGGCTTCGCTGGAGGACGATTATGGTTGGTTGGGATTGAATGATCTGAAGGGATTTAAAGAGAAAAGAAAAGAAAAGTTGGGGAAAAAAATAAATAAAAAAGAAATTATAGTGAGGCTTGTGTTTGGGTTGCTTTTTATGGAGAGAAAAGAAAGGTTTGAGAGAGATTTGGATAGCTATCTCTCCAAATCCTTCATATGCTATCTTTCCAAAAAAGGAAAGATTTGGAAATAAATGATAGTAAAGTAAGTAACACTTTCATGCTTCCAAAATTAACGAAAGAATAGTCCGGAAAACATACCTATCTTTTTCCGACCCAATTCATGCCATTGATTTTTTCCCTCCAAATCCTTCGTGCTATCCTCTCAAAAATTGAAAGATTTGGAAAGAAGTGATAGTGAGTTAAGTAGCACTTTTATGATTCCAAAATTAACAAAAGAGCATTCCAGAAAACATACTTATCTTTTTTCGACCCAACGCATGCCATTGATTTTTCTTTTCCCAACAAGTGAACCTAGGAAAAAAAAAATCCAGTCTTATAAAGGTAATTTGGTTGTTATCATTTCTATTATTTTCTCAACTTTACCTTTTTCCAAACACGAATACTATCATTTCATGTTGCATTTAGTGTGCAGAAAAGAAATAGAATGGAATGCAAATGAGAATGAGAATCAAATGGAATGGTCATTCACATTCTACTATTTAGTTGCAACTACAAAATGATGTAGGAATGGAATGGTAATAATCATTCTAATGTTTAATTGGATCAATTTAAAACCTAAAATGTAGTGACTTTCAAATTAAATTCTCCAAAATACCCTTCTCAGTGATATAAATTAAATTATTAAAATAACATTATGTTATAATTTTTAAAAAAGAACTTGTGATGGTGGTGGAGGTGGAAGACGATGTTGTAGGTGTTGGTGGTGGAATTGGTAAGCGGTGATGGAGGAAGGCGGTGGCGGCCAAAAAGCAATAGTGGTAGTGGTGGTAGAAGGTAGTGGCAGTGATGGAAGGTTGCTGTGATGTAGGTGATGGCAGTGGAAGGTGGTCGTGGTGGTGGAAGGCAGTAGTGATGGCAGTGGTGGTGACAGCAATGGTAGTGCGATGGTGGTGGTGGAAGGTAATGGAGGTGGTAGAAGGTAGTTGAGGTGATGGCGGCGACAGTCTAGGTGAAAGGCGGTGGCAGTAATGTTGACGGTAGTGGAAAGCAGTAAAGTTGGTTGTGATGGAAGGCATTGGAGGTGGCAGTAGTGGTGACTGCAGCGACAATGGTGGTGGAAGGTGACGACAGTGGTGGCAGTGGCAATGGTAATGGTGGAAATGGCAGTAATGGAAGGTAGTTATGGTAGTGGTGGTGGCTTTTGGACTAGGAATATTAGGGTTTTTTGGAAACTTGATTTTTTAAAAAAATTTACTTGGGAATGGAATTGTCATTCCATAAGTTTAGTTGTGAAATAGATTTTATTTCTTGAAATATTTTTATTCCAAAAGAATGGTCATTCCCACTTTAAATTTCATACTAAACATATGAATGGTTAAAATGTGCACTATAACAAAAACATAAAATAAAAGTAGATATACATACTGTTAAACATGATAAAAATAGCTGTCATAGCCCTTTAACATGCTGATATTAGCTGCCAAACTGTCTGCAACCAAATGGACCATTGGGAGAACTTTGCACTCAATAACAACAGTCATGACTGATACCTTAGGGACAATAGGCAATAGTTATGATGGTTGCCTATTCTACCTTTTGCAACAATAATATGTGCTGCCAAAGACCCTTTTATAACTGTCTATTTTGTGCTTGTGTTTATGCCTAATGAAACATGATATTTGATTTTTTAGTAAATCATATGTCCACATGGAGCAATTTAAACAAAAAGAATAAATAAACACTTTTTCAACTCTCTATCAATGTATATAATAGTTTGCATTAATATGGTTCTTCTTCATTTTTAATGAAGCAAAAATTATGTAGCGTGGTATCTACGTCAATGTCACCAACAAGTACCTACAATAAGAGAAAAATGCCACTTTACTAACTTAGGTAAATAGAGAAATCTACATACTTTAGGTGCTTAATAAAACTAAGTACGAAGAATACTAGCAAATGTTAGAAAATTTCTACAATGCTACTCAGGTACTTTTGATATACTTTATTGAACATCTTATTAAGAGATCACCAGGCTCAACACTACTTGGATACCATAATAAAACAGTCAAAGGAAACTTAAGACATTTGAACATAATATGAATTCATATCATGTTTTCTTTTGATTTATGTCGGGTTAACTAAAAATTTAGAAATTAGTCGCATGATAACAAGAAGAGAATTCATGAACCAGATCCAAATATACCATAGCAAATCCTACTGACTTCAGGTAACAAATTTATGAACCAAATCCAGACACATTATATAACTTCAGGTAACAACAACGGTTACAGTAGACTATGCACTGAATGAAAAAGTAAAGACTTTGCTTATAAAAGCTTCTTGAGTGAATTAATGTAACGATGCACCATGCATAATGAATCAATTGATTTTTTGAGGGTATGATGTAAATGTAATTAAAAAATAAAAAATAAAAATAAAAAAATAAAAAAAAATAAAAAAAATAATTTTGTTAAACTATAAAGTTCCAATCGGTTCAGTTAAGGTGGTCAAAATGTTTATGAGAAACCACTAACTATATACTAGTAAGTAAGCATCGATTAGTTGGTACAAGACTTCTACTTTTCAAAGGGAAGTCAGGAGTTCGAATTTCAGTGAAGGCAGTGTGTGTGTCCCCAACTAGTAAAAAAAAAAAATGAATATCATGAGAAGAACTAGGTTGTTGTTGAGTGGACCTTAATTGATTGTTTGTAGAGGAAGTGCGTTGATTCTACTGCTGAGTTTGTACATAGTTGATGTATTGATTATGTTGTTGAGTAGAGCTTGACCGGTTGTTTGTAGGTAACAATTGTTGAGTATGCATAGAACAGGTATATTGATGAGCCTGTTGTTCTAGGTACTCCTGAGACCTACTTA